TGGCCTTTTATTGTGGCCAGCCTAAGGCACACCTGTGCAATAATCATGCTGTCTAATCAGCATCTTGATATGCCACACCTGTGAGGTGGATGGATTATCTCGGCAAAGGAGAAGTGCTCACTAACACAGATTTAGACGGATTTGTGAACAATATTTGAGAGAAATAGGCCTTTTGTGTACATAGAAAAAGTCTTAGATCTTTGAGTTCAGCTCATGAAAAATGGGGGCAAAAACAAAAGTGTTGCATTTATAATTTTGTTCAGTGTATATTTTACATTATTAATAATTTGTTACATTTATATATAGCGCTTTTTTTTTTATTACAACAGCTCTCTCCCCAGTCTGGCATGAACGGCTCGAATAGTTCATGTATCAGCTGACATATAATGTCATCGCCTGCTGCGAGCTTCAATGTAAATATTGCGTCAAAATCAAATCATTTTGAGCGTGATTTAAAACCGGATGATTGTAACCACTCTAAGTTCGTCTGCCTTGGGAAAGCTAGCGTGTCTACGACATAGTGATAACACTCGTTGCCTTCTCTAGTGCAGCTCAACCAGGTCTCGTCCCATTCGTCGATCTTTGTGATATCACAAATCCCGGAAAATATGCGTTGTAGTCCAAAGGAGTCGTTCGTTGTAGTTTTTGAAAGGTGATTTCTGTTAAATAAAATATCTCCTTTTGAATTGGACTTTGAGCTTTGTAACTTTACAGATCTTTTTTATGCTCAAACAGGAACATTACAGACTAAAGTTGAAAAAGTGAAAAAGCATAGTAGGACCCCTTTAAGTCGAGCTGCACTGTTACTATTGCTCATACTGATGGTTAGTCATTTGAATTGAGCTCATTTTTAGTTACAAAAAAATGTAAGGATGCATTAAATTGATCAAAATGACATGAAATACCTGTATAATGTTTCAAACGATTTCTATTTTTAAAAAGTGCTGTTCTTTTGAACTTTCTATTCATCGAGGAATTCTAGTTTCCACAAAAATATTAAGCAACACAACTTAATCAACATAATAGTAAATGTTTCTTGAGCAGCAAATCAGCATATTAGAATGATTTCTGAAGGATCATGTGGCACTGGAGTAAAAGCTTTTCCATCACAGGAATAAATTACATTTTAAAATATGTAACAATAGAAAACAGTTATTTGAAAGTGTAATAATATTTCACAATATTACAGTTTTACTGTAATTTTTTATCAAATAAATGAAGCCTTGGTGAGCATTAAAGACTTCTCTCAAAAACATAAAAAAATCTTAACAACAATCCCAATTTTTGAACGGTAGTATATATTTTGTGTATTCCACAAACTTGCATATGTGACCCTGGACCACAAAACTAGTCTTAAGTGTAAATTTTTCGAAATTGAGATTTATACATCATCTGAAAGCTGAATAAATAAGCTTTCCATTGATGTATGATTTGTTAGGATAGGACAATATTTGGCTGAGATACAGAAAATCTGGAATCTGAGGGTGCAAAAAAAATCAAAATATTGAGAAAATCACCTTTAAAGTCGTCCAAATGAAGTCCTTAGCAATGCATATTACTAATCAAAAAGTTTTAATATATTTACAGTAGGAAATTTACAAAATATCTTCATGGAGCATGATCTTTACTTAATATCCTAATGATTTTTGGCATAAAAGAAAAATCTATAAATTTGACCCATACAATGTATTTTTGGCTATTGCTACAAATATACCCCAGCGACTTAAGACTGATTTTGCGCTCCAGGGTCACATATATTAGTATTTTTTTGTTTCTGTTTCATTAGGATTTTGAAATGCTTCATCCAGGCCAGAAGCTCCCTGAGGGCCCCGCTCTCTCTTTACTGCTGGAACGAGGTGCGTGTGATTTCTCTCTGATGGATACTCGCTCTGTCCATCGTGTCCAGTGTATATGGATGTGTATGATGATAACGGTTCTGTCTTCAGCAGGCTGCGGTGTGTGATTGTGTATGTGTGGTTCAGGAGGTAATGGTGGCAGGTACGGGATATTTTAAAGCTCTCTCCGACGGGACTGTCGAGGTCTTGTTTCTGGATGGAGTTAGAGCGCAGATGATGTGGAAGTCCGACACCTATACACCTGCACAGGTACATCACGGATGTACTTCATTAGAATACAACCACACACTGACACAGGGGATAATATCCTATTCCTGATAGGGCTGTCAAAAAAAAAGAGAATTTCAAATATTAATTGAAATTAAAATAAAAATCCAAGTTCGAATGCAAAAAAGTTGCATTCGAATTTTAGGTGTGCATTAAGGAGGCAGGCTTATCAGTGGCGCACGAGATGCGATGACGATGTAAGTGTCACTGCATTATAATGTTTTTGTTAACCTATCCAGTTGAAGCCACTAGATGCGGTGCTGCTGCATTGTTCATTAAAAATATTGTGGAAAAAGAGAACATCAATGCGGAGAAGATCTTGTTTACATCAAAACTGAAACCAAGCCGTTCACACAGAACACATATTTCGCGCATTTTCTAGAGGGACATCTATCACCATTGCACTCGCATCTCGCACAAAAGAGCTGCATGTTTAGAAAGCAATGTAAAATTAATGCAAGTTTAACTTTGAAAAAAAAAAAAAACATATATCAAGACTTTATGGTGGGTTTTTTCCCCCATCCCACTGCAACTCATGTTTTTAAATGAAAAATGTACTCTGTGTGATTGGCTTTCCGCCCTTTGTATTAAACTATGCATACATACATGATGCTGTTTTGTTTATAGTTGTTTAAGCAACTTAATTAATTATAATTGGTTTATAAACATTATTTTAAATATTATGCACTTTTTTTCACAGATGTTATGTTATCTTATGCTTTGAATAAACGTGCATTAGTAATATTTTTCTCGATGCGCCCTCAAGAGAGAATCCAAAAGCTTTTCTTCACCCTAACTGAAATTACGCATTTTAAATTCGAATATGATTCGAATTTTGATCATATTTAAGTACAAAATTAGATTTTAGTTTTTCAGCCATTTTGACAGCCCTAATTCCAGATAATGAATCAACTCACTTACTTGCACATTTATTCAGCTCTTCACCAGTTAATGAGTTGAAACATTTTGATATGCTTACAACCATTAAAAGGCTACGTTTTAAGGTGAATTAGGTTCCATTTATGTATATTCAAACTAAAATTCAACAATTTGTTTGCAGCATTGTGCAAACATGTTCACAGAAGTGCAGTGCTACGTGGTGTTTTTCATAAATTAAAACTTTATTTTAAATAAATAAAAATTATCATTATGTAATAATAATATGATTGAATATTGCTGATTTATTACTATGTGTAATTGAATTGTTGAACATAAATTATAATTAAATATATTTTTTCTTTGTGTTAATTTAGTGAAAAACTGTGACTTTTGAAAACCTTTTTTTCCTATTTTACATTTATATAATTTACTTTAATTTTCCTTTGTTATTTATTTATTGTCCCAGCCTTAATCAATCAGCATGTCACATATTCTCAAAGGAGTGTAAATTCAGTTTTGTTGGAACCATGTCAATAAACAAAATTGTTTCAAATCCTGTAATTTTTTTAAAGGTTATGAATTCATGATTTTTAAAAAAATGTTATGTATTTGTGATGGCAGTGTGGAGAAATGGAACAGAAACTCAGGGCAGAAACCAGACCATCTCACAGGTGGTGCCAGCTCAATTTGCCAGATGGGCACCAAACTCTTGTCCAAGTTGAGACAGACCAAACTTATCAAAGGTAAAGAGATGATGTAATATTCATTGCACCAATTGCTTCTGAAAATCCTTAATTTCTTGTTTTGTCTCTTTCTCTCTCAGGTATGTGTCGGCAGTAGTGCAGTGGTGTGACTGGGTAAAGCAGACAGATCAGAGCATGAGTGCAGTGGGCGTGGCTCTCTCAGACTCCGCCCATTGTGACACACCTCAGCCAATAACGTACAGGTATTAAGGAGCTCTTATTCCCTGGATCATTATTTATTATTATTATTATATTCATTTGCATCACATGACCTGGAAGATGCATATCAGTCACTCTTAAAGGGATAGTTCACCTGGAAATGTCATTCAAAACAAGTATGTTTTTCCATGGAATTTTAAAATAGAGAATGAAGCTTGTTTGTTGGTGTACAAAGTTTTACACGGAAAACTTGAGTATTTATGGTAGAAAACAAAATTTTGAGTGAACTATCTCTTCTTCATCCTGATTTCTTACATTCCTACAGGTCTGTTGTTTCTGAACTGGAAAAGATCAAGAGGTTTAACTGTATCCTTTTTGTGAGATTATGTGACTGAGTTGGTGTGGAGTTTGATTATTGAGAGCAGAATGCCCTTGGGTAGATATTTCTTTAACATATCCATCAGTTTTGTTGGAGAACAGCCCCGTCCTGCGTCCTACAGGAAGATCTTTGAGCTGTGAGCGTTCTTCTGACCGACCTGAGATCAAACTCACAGAGAACTGCATCTCTGAGGCTCTGCAGAAAACCTCCAGAGCCATACAGGACATTGACACGCTCTTATCAGACAGACGGTAGAACTGAATGCAGACACGTACGGCTTTCCCAAAAAATTGTTTGCTTTTATGGAACTTATTCAGTGAAATGTAATGAGATACATGAGTCTCACTAAACCTGTCAAGAACATATCTGGGTCATATTTCACACCAAAACTCTATTTTATTGTAAATGAAATAAAAAAAAAAGTCCTGTTTTTTTAGGACGTTTAAGCACATTTAGCCCCAATTCCCATTATTTTAATACTAAGAAGTCTTTAGAAAAATAAATAAAATATAAATGAATA